TCTCTCCGGTTGTGAAGCATACCTCCATCCGTGTATTGCTTGCCATGGTTGCTCTATTTGATCTGGAGCTTGAGCAGCTTGATGTGAAGACTGCATTTTTACATGGCGAACTTGAGGAGACTATCTACATGTCTCAGCCAGAGGGATACTTCGTAGAAGGTAAAGAAGATCAAGTTTGCAGATTGAAGAAATCTTTGTACGGCCTGAAGCAATCTCCCAGACAGTGGTACAAGAGGTTTGATAATTTTATGCTTAGTCATGGGTACTCAAGAAGTACTTATGATAGTTGTGTGTACTACATGCATCTAGGAGATGATTCTTTTATTTATCTTCTATTATATGTCGATGACATGCTTATTGCTGCTAAGAACATATCACAGATTCTTATTTTGAAGAAACAACTCAGTGATGAGTTTGAGATGAAAGATCTTGGTGCAGCAAAGAAGATCTTAGGTATGGAGATTAGGAGAGACATGAAAGCTGGAACATTATATCTCTCACAGAAGAGCTATATTGAAAAGGTACTTGAACGCTTTGGGATGAAGAAGGCCAAGCCCGTTACGACTCCTTTGGCTCCTCACTTTAGGCTCTCGGCTTCAGATTCACCTACAAGTGAGAACGAGAAGAAGGAGATGTCCCGAGTTCCATACTCCAATGCAGTGGGTAGCATTATGTATGCTATGATTTGCACTCGTCCAGACATTGCCCAGGCAGTCAGTGTAGTGAGCAGATACATGGCTCAACCAGGGAAGGCACACTGAGAGGCAGTGAAGTGGATCCTTCGGTATCTCAGGGGTACCTCGGATTTGGGTTTAGTTTTTGATAGCAGTACTTTGGGAACCTCATTTGTAGGTTTTGTAGATTCTGACTATGCAAGTGATCTCGATAAAAGGAGATCTTTGACTGGTTATCTTTTTACTCTTTCTGGCTCAGCTATTAGTTGGAGATCGACTCTATAGTCGACAATTGCTTTGTCTACTACAGAGGCAGAATACATAGCAGCAGCAGAAGCGGTAAAAGAGGCCATTTGGTTGAGAAATCTCGTGAGGGGGCTTGGACTTCTACAGGAGGCTAGTTCAGTTGTATTTTGCGACAATCAGAGCGCAATACATCTAAGCAAAAACTCAGCACATCATGAGAGGACAAAGCATATTGATGTCAGATATCATTTCATTCGTGAGGCAACTGCTGAAAGAAATATCACGATGAAGAAGATTGGTACTGTAGACAACCAAGCTGACATGTTGACCAAACCGATTCCGACCTTCAAGTTCAAGCACTGCTTGAATTTGGGAGGCATTCGCACTTGTTAAGTGGCCCCTTTTGGGGCATTGTTTGCAAGATGGGTGAAGACTCACTAGTTATTGGTGTCGGCTCAGCTTTTGGGAAAACTTCACCGAGGTGGAGATTGTTGGTCAGTCAACTATATCAAGCACCGAAAGGTGACTTGCTTTCGGTGGCCGTATTGACATAGAGAGGGGTGGCTGAAGCTTGATTTTGTTGACAAATGGTGTATGTTTTTTCCTATATAAAGCATACGGGAGACAGAGAAAACAGATGAGCCTCTGAGTCTTCTTGAGATTTAGTATCAGAGCTTAAGAAATCAACGAATAGAGCTTGAGAGACAGAGAGTGAAAGCCACACGAGAAATCTGTGAGCTCTCTATATTTTGTATGAGTGTTGTATGTTGAGAAAGAAATATAGTGATACACCCTCTTGCCGTGGACGTAGATCAATTTGATCGAACCACGTAAATATTGTGTTTGTGATTGTTCTATTCTCTGGTTTAGTGGGTAATTTCCCCAACATTCAAGAAACCAGTAAAGGGTCTGTGTGCAATTAACCCTCCATAGTGTTCAAACATTTGATATGCACTAACTAAAACTACCAAGCAAGAGCTTAAATGCAAATGGAAAAGTTAATGAGTTATTTTTTACCTTAGTCTGAGTTTTCAAGACATAGCATAATCCAATCTAACTTTTAAGTTAATGAGTTATTTTTTACCTTAGTCTGAGTTTTCAAGACATAGCATAATCCAATCTAACTTTTGATTGTCTGGAAGTAACTTCAACACTGAGTTTTCAAGACATAGCATAATCCAATCTAACTTTTGATTGTCTGGAAGTAACTTCAACATTCGAAAATCATGTGCAGAACCATCAATGAATCTCTTAACCTCCCTTAAAAATTAATGTGGAGGAATACCCCTCACTTTAGATACCTCGGCATGAATATTAATGAGTTTTGTGTGGCTTTAGCCATGTCATATGCCAACTCAGTGTGATGTGTCCTGTGTAATGTTATTTATTCCATGTATCTTGTAGGCTATTAAGAAGAAAATCTTATCCTGGTTCTTAGTTTAAGCTTGAATGTTACCCTAAACCTGTCTTAATTTCATTATAAAATTCCAAATATGAAAATATCATTCTTTGATATGTAGAGGAACACTCCGACAATTTTCTACCTTCATCATTAGACAACAATATCAAACACTATCAAATGCTTCTAACTATTCCTTCATGCTCCCAAACACTTTATACTACTCGATATAAACTACCAATTATGGACAAGATTTTAAATAACTAGACCATCATCAAATTTTATAAATATGTATCATCTAACGATCATCCAAATTGCCACAATTGCAATATTATTAACTCATACTCCCACAATTTATGCGACAAATATCTACCCAAAAAATATTTAAAACAATAATAAGAAGTATACATTTGTCTTTTGCTATCCCAGCAAAGGCATAGTTCATCCTACTACATGAATAAAAAACAACCTTCTCGATCTACAATAAACTTAAATAGAGTCAAAATCTAATACACTGATTTAAAGTTTAAACGAAAAAACATAAATATAATCAACTAAAGGATACAACCATTGCATAGACTTATAAATCGTAACCCAACAAATCTCAATTTAAGCTTGAATCCCCAAATCTCAATTTCTATCTAGGGTTAGGGTTTTGGTAGAAGTGGAGAGGATTGGAAGGGAGCTCGGTAGAGAAATCAATCGAGATAATAGAGTTTGAATCTAGAATTTAGGGTTTCTATGAAACTAGAGACAGAGGATCGAGAAGTTCTCATCGTTTTCGATGATCGCCGTCACCGCCAGAGGTGAAATTAGGGCTTGCAGGTCAAATTGGATCTCGTCGTCGTCGTCACCGCCGGTTGAGAGCGGAAGTGGGGAGGGTGAGAGATCACGAGAGCGGAAGTTCTAGAATTTAGGGTTTCTATGAAACTAGAGACAGAGGATCGAGAAGTTCTCATCGTTTTCGATGATCGCCGTCACCGCCAGAGGTGAAATTAGGGCTTGCAGGTCAAATTGGATCTCGTCGTCGTCGTCACCGCCGGTTGAGAGCGGAAGTGGGGAGGGTGAGAGATCACGAGAGCGGAAGTGGAGAGAGAAGAAACAATGGAATTGCAAATGACATGCTACGGGTTGGGATTTAGAATTATGAGTGTATTATAGGTTTAAAATGTTAATGGATTTGGTTCAATATCCAGTTTTTAAATTCTTTTGGATCCAAACAATAAAATTGAGCTAAATACCTTATTTAAAATGAAATACTTGTTACCAAAAAGGCTGTTAATTTTAAGGCCCTGTTTGGCAACAAAAAAAAGTGGCTTATCTAAGAGCTTGTGGCTTATTGAGTTGGTCAATAAGCTAGTAGAGCTGTTTGGTGACAAAAAATAAGAGGAGATTATTTTGGAGATTGTGGCTTTTGCAAGTAGCTTTTGAAAAGCTATCTCAAGTAGCGTTTGGGATTGAGAAGAAGCTGTCAATTATAATTCTTCCGTTTTTGCCCCTTTAAATAGGCCAACCGAACCCAAAAAAAAACCCTCTTTCTTTTCCAGCGTGAAAAACCTTCTGCCGTCGATTCTTCTTCTCTATTTCGCTCTTTGATCCGCCTAGGAGAAGAAGGGTTTGGATTCTTGCTCCCTGCTCAAATTCAACTAATTTACTGATTGTGAGTTTCCTTCTCGATCTATTTTTCGATTTGTTTTTGTTCATTAGGTTAGGGTTCTGTTCCTTTGATGTTTGATTGTTGTGGGGATGATGGCATGCGATTTGGATTTGGTTGGTACTTTAATTTTCTGTATTATCGTTGTTTCTAGATCTAGCCATGTCTAGCATTAGCCAATTCCTAGGAAATACTAATTAATAGAAACCTTACTAATGCAATAAAATACTATGATCCGCCTTAACCTGAGAAAATTTATAACAATGATGCACAGAATTATAACTTTGATTTATCTTCTAGTATAAATCATCTTGCTTCATAAATTCTTGTGTTAATTGGAGTCAATGTGTGATTTCAGGCACTGAACACATTGCAGTAATTTTGTTCTATGAAAATAGAATTGTTCATAGAGTATTGTCCATGTTTACATAGTTTGCAAGTACATGGGTTTCTGAAAGCAGTACACCAGCAGAATTATAAGGAAGAAAGCTTCCGTAGTATTATGCAGGCAAGAAAAATACCAACAAGGGAAAATTTTATAATACGTGCATGGTCCTAATTCATGTAGCATAGTAATATCATATCCATCCAGTGTCTTGCACTAGGCGAGTTGATCTTTTGTGAAAATAAAATTATATCAAGCTAATTGTAGACATTGTAGTGCTATGGGAGACAATTTCTTGTGTAAATGACATTACAGTAAAGTAATAATATTTGTATTATGCTAATATGCTAGCTTTGATTGTCTTATGTCATTGTTCGCTAATACAGAATTCATCTCCACTCATGTGTTTTATATTCATGTGTTTTTTTTATATTATAGATGGAATCAAGTAATGATAATGTGGACAATCAGAAAAACAAAGGTACTGATGATGCGGAGGGAAAGACATTTAACTGGACAAATGATTTCATGATTGTATTATTGGAGCTATGTTTGGCATTCGTTGCTAAGAATGGCCGCAATCAACTATTCAAATGTCGGAAAGTTAATAATTATAGAAGTTTAAAAAACAAGTATGATCAAATGAAGAGAGATTGGAGAATTTGGAAAGGTTTGAAGCAATCTGAAACTGGCCTAGGTTGTGATTACATAACTGGAAAGCTTGATTGTTCCAATGAGTGGTGGGAGATAAAAATCAAGGTTAGTTGTTTTCTCACATAGTCATAATTGGTAAATTAAAGAAAAGTTAATATTTTGTTTGATTTAATATTTTATGATATTGTGTAGGAAAAACCTGAAGCTAAAAAATTTCGTAACAAAGGGGTACCATGCGCCATTGAAGAGCTATGGGATCAGCTATACTCGGATGTAGTAGCTAACGGGTTAGAATGCGTTACTCCCGGCATGAATCCTTCAAGTGTGGTTGTGAATGATGTACAATCTGGAAATGTTGAGAGGGTTCAAGCAGGTGTTGAAGAAGAGGAAACCAATAGTGAAGAGAGAGTACTTGGTGAGTATGAGGATTCTCAAGATCATGTTTACTCAGAATATAGTCAATACTCATCTCACTTGGAAAACCTAGAAAGAAGTGAGGGTACTTTTTGGCATGAGTTTTCAAATGAAGTGCTTAATGCTGATAATCAACAACCTAACCAAAGCCAAGGTGTTACCCAAGTACCAACTAGTGATAGGAGGACTTCTAAAGAACCACAAAAAACTGCCACAAAAACAGTGAATTCTGTGCCAATGAAGCGTAAAAGGAGACAATCTACAGGATCAGCAATGATGAACCATCATCTTGAAAACATGGTTGCATTTTGTGGTCGTGCAGTCCAAGCACTTGAGTCAGATGCTAGTGCTCCTGATAGTGTGACAAATACTCAAACACCAGTGAATTGTGCTGTAATGGTGATGAATGTTCTTAAAAATATGGATGGGTTGGAAAATGGTAGTGCTTTGTGGTGTTATGCTGTTTATTTACTTGAGGATGCTATGAGAAGGGATTTTTTCTTTGCTATGGAGGATGATGCTTCTAGGTTGGCTTGGTTAAAGTTTATGTATGATATGAAGGACAAGTAAACGTTTGAACTATTATTTATTTGTTTAATTAGGTGTGGTAATTTTAGATATTTCAGCCGTTGTTTGTGTTTTATTAAGTGTTGAAGTTGTGTTTAATTTGGTTGCATGAATTCTTAATCTTATGGTTGTATGGACTGTTAAACTTTGTGGTTGTGTTTAATTTGCATTTTACCTTGTTTAGACTTATCTTCATTTTTTTAAACTAATCATTGTTTAGGTGTATTATGGATATGAAGAAAAGGAGGAAGAAAAAGCAGAGAATATTTTGGCTTATAACTGCATGTACAACAAGTGCTATAGCTACATATTACTACAAATACATTTACAAAGAACCATGCATGACTTCACATCAAAGAGGGGAAGATTGGATGAGAGAAATTCTAAATGGACATCCTATTCGATGTGTGAATGCCTTTAGAATGGAATCAAGAGTATTTTTGCTACTATGTGAAGAGTTACAATCCAAATATGGATTAACACCTAGTAGGAACATGACAGTGGTTGAAAAAGTGGGTATATTTGTTTATACTATTGCATTGGGTCTCTCTAATAGAGATGTTTGTGAGCGATTTCAACGTTCTGGTGAGACTATTAGTAGAACCATTACCCAAGTTTTAGAAGCGATTTGTGGTAGAAATAAAGGTTATATGGGTCTTGCACGGGATGTTATACAACCAAAGGATCGAAACTTTCAATTCATACCACCTCAAATCGCCAATGATACAAGATACATGCCTTATTTTAAGGTAAACATTATTGTAATTGATACTTAATTTGTAAATTTTGATACGTACCATTATTATAATGATGAAGTTTAAATTATAGGATTGTATTGGATGCATTGATGGTACTCATGTGGCAGCATGTATTCCCGAGGCTGATCAATTGCGTTATAGAGGGAGAAAAGACATCCCCACTTTCAATGTCATGGCTGTGTGTGACTTTGATATGTGTTTTACATTTTTGTCTGTTGGGTGGGAAGGATCAGCACATGATACACGTGTTTTTCTTCATGCGATTAACACGCCAACAATGAATTTTCCTCATCCTCTACAAGGTTTGTTTTTATTTTTTGTTTAAATTTATTTACTCCAATATATTATAGTCATAATATTTCCTTCATTTAATCTCACTTTTCTTAAATTTTAATATAGGTCGATATTATTTGGTTGATAAAGGATATCCGGATAGACTGGGATATTTAGTACCGTATCCCAAAATAAGGTACCATCAATCGCAGTTTCAAAGAGAGGCGCCAACCAATGCTAAAGAAACTTTTAATCGTGCGCATTCATCTCTTCGTAGTTGTATTGAGAGGTCATTTGGAGTCTTGAAGAAAAGATGGAAGATTCTTCACCAAATGCCACAGTATAGTGTGAAGACCCAAATTGATATTGTTATGGCCGCATTTGCATTGCATAATTATATTCGCATTAACTCAGTCGATGATCCGTTGTTTACAGTGTTAGAACAACAACCAAATTATGTACCCGAAGATGAAACTCAAGATGAACTCGAGGATCCTGATGAGAATAGTAATTCTTCAAGAGGGACAACTTCTGAAATGAGGGAAGTTCGTGATAACATTGCTCGCTTATTATGGGAGTCAATGTGATAATTGCCTACAGTATTAGATGTCGTATTTACTGTTTTCTTTCAATTGACCTCTCAATGTTTGTGTATTTCTCATAATGTTTTCCCTTATTATGTGATGATGGTTATTGTTTTTATCACGTGCATTGCATGTGCAATCTAACTAGTAAATAAATAAATAAATGAGTGTTGAGTAATTCTAATTTTATATCAATAATATTGCATGTTCTTTTTAGTCATTTACAAATTTAAGTTAGTTATACAGCTACTTTTGCCAAACAGCTCTACTTTAATCAGCTAGCTACACAGCTATAAGCTTTCAGCTACAATTTCACAGCTTTCAGCTAACTTAACAGCTTTCAGCTATAATCTCGTAGCTTTCAGCTAGTTTTGCCCAAATCCAAAGCTCATTTCCCCAAAAAGCAACCCCTACTTGAAATTTTTCTCTTGATCGTAATCGACCAGGCCCAAACTAGGACTGGCCCTTGGGCTTTTTCCTTTCTCTAAAGCCCGCATTTTGCCCTAGCCTCCATCGTCTCTCTCCCACTCCGCTTCATAAATTTCATTTAATTTCCCCGCTTCCTCTCTTTTTCCTCCACTGCGGCCGCCATCGTCGCCGCTTCCCGGAGATAATCACCGATTAAAGGAGGAGAACAAGTCTACGATCACGAAAATGGCGCTGGCCTTCGATGAGTATGGCCGCCCCTTCATAATAATGAAGGAGCAAGATCAGAAGACGAGGCTTCGTGGCCTCGACGCCCAGAAATCCAACATCGCCGCTGGCGTCGCCGTATCTCGAATCCTACGCACTTCTCTTGGCCCTAAGGGCATGGACAAGATGATGCAGAGCCCCGACGGCGATCTCATCATCAGTGAGTACTAACTGCTGCTAGTTTTAGTTCCTAACCTAATTTTGTTAGTCTTATACTGATTAAACTGTGTTCTGTAAATCTTAGCTCAGTAGATCTTTGCTAAGGGGAAAAAAAGAAGGTTTTGATGCTGTTTACTGTGTGGGTTTGAGTTAGGGTTTTGTTTTTCAGTTTTCTGCTGATCTGCAGTGATAAGAGATTGTATTAGTATAAGTTTGTTCTCTTTTAAGATTAGTTAGATGCATGAGATCTGTCTTCTTGTTTGTTGCTAAAGGTGAAAAGTCCTTTCTTTTTTTTAAGGACTTGAGGTAGGGTTTACTCCAACGTCTACTGATCACTAATAAGTGATAACTTTGTATGCACGAATGTTTCATTTTGATAACATTTTGTTTTAGAGTGGTCTGAAAAATGCATGACTTTGGATGGTAAAAGCAGTTGTTTCTGTGGTTTAATTATCACAGAGGAACTTGTTCTTGAAATGTAAAAAAAGATTGAGTAGTGATAACTAGGCTCCTTCCTCAAACTAGCCCCACATTAAGCGAGAGAAAATGTTAGGCTCATTCTCTTCATTTTTTAATCAAAATCAACGACTCATCAAAGGATCCCACATTTATCTTGTAGTGTGGGGGTAGTTTTTAAGGGAGTAATCTAGTTAGCATTATTCAAAAACTTCCTGTGATTTGCTTAATGTTGTTATAGTTTGCATTGAAAGAGAATCTGATTTATGGATTATTCCGTAGATTGACTAGAAAATCTCCCCAACCCTCACCCCCCCCTCTTTTAGTGGATTCAAGTGAAAATGTAGACAAATAAAATAGCTGGGGGGGGGGGACAAACATGATATTGGTTGCTAGGGTCTTAGATATTTTCAGTTGCATATTTGGCACCTTGCTGAAAGAAGTACTTATGCATTTCAAGGTTTTGAAAAGTGCAAAAAACCTCGCTTAAGCGTTCTTGGCGTTATTAACTCGAAAAGCGCTTTAAAATGCGTAAAAGTTCTTTAAAGTGTGTAAAAGTCCTTAAAAGCACTTTCGGTGCTTTTACCGAGCTTCAACAAAAGTGAATTTTGGGCTTTTGGGCTGCATTTTTGTACCTGACGAAACCTGACTTGTTCTTATAATTTAAGCTCTGTGATTCCCCCATTTACTGCCGAACCCCAAAACCCTAGAGCCCCAGATCCTACCTCCTCTGTTCACCGGATTGTACACCTACCCTCCTCCATCCACTGTCTCGATGAAGCTCAGCTTCTCTTCCACCGCCATCGTTGACCATAGCCTCCAGCAGCTCCTTAACAAAGCTTCACTAGCTTCTCCCTCTGTCGCCTTCAGCCCTCAACTACAACAGCTCCTCGATGAAGCTCCTTTACCACTGTTTCCCTCATTACAACCCTTTTTACCGCCTGCAGCAGCTTCTCAACGAGGTTCCTCCACCGCTGATTTTCTCAACTGGACCGGTTTCTTACTTAGCTCTGTTTACGTTTTGAACGGCTTAAGCCCCAAAAAGCATAAGCAGTGTACTGCTTCGTTTTGCTTTCCACAACCTTGATGCATTTACTTTTTTTTATTATTGATGTCTAAACTAAAAGCAGTTTGTACTGTGGATGAGTTCATGAGTCATAAAAAACCATAATCAACGCACATCTACTTTGAACTATAATTAGTTGATTTTTTCTGAATCAATCATTTACCTGTCAAACTGAAGTTTTAATTGACATTATGAATTTGGAGATGAAATAAACAAATGTTTTAAGTATCAACTTGGCCACTGAAATGACAAGAATGTTTCATTTTGTGTTCCACAAAACAGAGAATGGAATACCAGTTAGATGAGAATGTGACTACTGGTGATCGATGTGAGTAAGTTGAGGCCCAGTCCACCCAGATAAGCTAGGTTGCTTAGAAGGAACAATAAATTTAAGGAAAAAGATATTTTGATTAGAGAAAGGAATAACCAGTTAGATGAGCATATACCTTCTATCTGAACATGTTTTTTTTTTTTCAATTTTATAGCTATTGATGGAGGTTTGACACAGTCTGGTGCTTCTGCATATATCCATTTATTTTTAAGTTGTATGAGATGGATCATAGTTAGCATGTGAAACAACTGTAGTTATAATTGGATCACATTCAAGATGTTGATTGCTTATTATTCTTTCTTTTGCTGCCCATCATGTAGTTGTACAGTCCAAAGACCACGCGTAATATTTTTATAATCACTGTTCTGTTGGGCTGACTCCTTAATCCCTGCATGAAACTGACTGCTTGACCTTGTATTCACAGCGAACGATGGGGCAACAATCTTGGAACAGATGGATGTGGACAATCAGATTGCAAAGCTGATGGTGGAGCTATCCCGAAGTCAAGATTATGAAATTGGCGATGGCACAACTGGTGTTGTCGTTCTTGCTGGCTCACTTTTAGAGCAGGCAGAGAAGCTTTTAGAACGCGGCATTCATCCTATTAGGATTGCTGAAGGCTATGAGCTGGCATCCAGGATAGTCGTTGATCATCTTGAGGGTATTTCGCAAAAGTTTGAGTTCAGTGTTAACAATATGGAGTCCTTAGTGAAGACCTGCATGACAACATTGTCATCCAAAATGTAAGTCTCTCTTTTGATATTTGTTTACCAATGTGGGTTATGCGCACACTGTAAATTTGTAATTCCATCCATAGGAGATGCTTTCCATTTATTTTTGCTGCGGTAAGATTTTTCCACAGAATGTGTGTATAGTGTGGACATACATATATGTATCCATACATTTACATATATACACGTGTGTATATGGGTATATATACGTCTATATATGTATGTATGTGTGTATACATACATGTATACATGTGCACATGCATATACATACATACATACATATACCTATGCATACATAAATACATATGCTTTTTTGCTTTATGATTTCCTCTCATTTCCATACTCTTTAAGGATGCGTATGACTAATGTCATGGATATACTACTTTATAGTAGTGTATGTAATTGATCAATTTTCATCCTTGAGTCAAGAAGGAACTTCTGTATTTTCATGTTTTCTAGGATTCAACAATTGCAAAGCAGTTTAGGAAGTCCTAGAGCATGATTTAGTACATACAATCGAAACCTGCAGATGCACCATGTGAATTAGTTCGAAAATAAGGCTATGACCTAAGACAATGTATTTTCCTACACCTTTAAGGAATATTTCTTTTTGACATAATCCTCTGCAAGCATATCTTTCCCATTACTAATAGAAGTTTGTAAGTCTATATGAATATTTAATTGTCTCCACACATCTTCCAAAATAATACCTTTTGGCGTAATTGGTTCATGGAAGGATTGTATTGATCTAGACTTTGTTTTAATATTTGTCGAATATATCTATCCAACCCTTCATTTTCAAGCAAATGATTCTCAATTTCTTGCTTTGTGTCAAAATTATATAGCTTCTAAAATCTTGGTCTTATGCTTTCTGTTGGTAAGAGATCACATTGTTGTGAAAAGTATGTGTGTATACATATATATATACACACACACACATACACACATATAATATATATATATTTATTTATATATACATACATACAATACACACACACACACACATACACACACATACATATAAACATACATACATACATACATATATATTTACATACATATATACGTACATATATATATGTTTACATGTGTGTCTATATATATAAGTATATATATGTTTGTATATATATATATGTGTGTGTGTGTCTATATATATGTACATATTTGTGTGTGTCTATGTATACACACACATATAGAGCAATATGGAGGAACTCGGAACCAAGCACAAGTTTTTGTGCTTGGTAGTGAGGTGGCTCATTCCCATCCACTCATTCAAATGGGGGCCACATTCACATGGATTGGAGAGTGACGAGAATGAGACACCCGCTACCAAGAACAAAACTTGGTGTGTGTCTATATATATGCATATATAGACACACACGTGTGTGTGTATATATATATATAAACACGCACACACATATACACATATATAGACCCACACATATACATATGTATGTATATATGAAATGAATGTATACATACACATATACACCTGTATATGTATGAATACATACACATATATATGCCTATATGTATGTATGTATACATACACATATATACGTATATGTGTGTGTGTATATATGCGTGTGTATACACACACACACATAATATATATATATATATATGTATAATAATAATAATAATAATAATAATAATAATAATAATAATAATAATAATAATAATAATAATAATATAATACGCACACGCACACCCACCCACCCACCGGGCCTGCCCTCGGGCGCGCGTGTGTGCGCGCGCGCACACACACATATTTAACCATTGATGCATATGGCCCTGATAAGAGATTAGAAAACAAGGAAAGGAGAACAGCACAATGGAGAAAGGTAGTATAGAACTGGTTGTGGCTATTAGTTTCTCATAGCTTGTCTTTTGGAACTCGTATTTATTTTCTTGGAAATTAAATGGATGTTGGTATTCAAAGCCAAAACTGGTCCTTGAGCTGTAAGCTTTGAATTTGAAAGTTTTCATTTACTTGCGTTCAAATTATGCATCATTTTTAAACCTGACAGGCTGACACCTATTACATATCTTTTCCAAAATAATAAAATAAAATAAAAATTGTAGCACCCTTGTAGCTGTTTACAATGATCTGGTAGCATATTTTTAACTGTTGAGTCGTCCAAAAACTGAAGCATAAACAGTTTACGCGTGACCAAATTTCTGTCAAATTAAGCCATATGTTATAATGTATCTATGAGACATGAACTGAGCTTGAAGAGATGCGTTTTACTAAAAATAGTTGTCAAGTGAACTTACTAAAAATTGACATGATAGTGATACACTTGCAAGTTACAGAAGTAATACATACAAATCATTCACACAAGCACTGAGGGTACAAACTAGGCAGGAACTTATCATAACCCACTGAAACTGGCTGATGCACTAGTAGAGAGGAAAAAAAAATAATGGATCGTACCTGAAATTGCTAAAAATTTCCATTAATCGCAGTGTTTTTTTTTCTTTTTTCTTGGCGGCGCCGGGGGGGACGTTGGGGCGGAACAAAAGCTCTATGACCTTTGTTTTATGTGGACATTATTTTGCTATTACATGGGAAATAAACATCTGTGTGGGATCTCACTAAACCTTTTTATTGTATATGCTTTAATTATAAAATATTTTCCTATCTTTTTGTGTAATAGAAAATGATTATGTTGTTAAATGCAGTGTTAACCGTTGCAAGCGCAGTCTAGCTGAGATTGCTGTTAAAGCAGTTCTAGCTGTTGCAGATTTAGAGAGGAAAGATGTTAATTTGGATTTGATTAAGGTAGAAGGGAAGGTAGGAGGGAAATTGGAAGATACCGAGCTCGTTCATGGAATTATTGTCGACAAGGATATGAGCCACCCACAGATGCCAAAACGGATTGAAAATGCTAAAATTGCTATATTGACTTGCCCATTCGAGCCACCGAAGCCCAAGACAAAACATAAGGTTGACATTGACACTGTGGAGAAGTTCCAGACCTTGCGCCATCAGGAGCAGAAATATTTTGATGACATGGTTCAGAAATGCAAGGTAAAATTTACTAGATTTAAAGCAGTATCGTTTAGATTATTTTGATTACCTTCTCAAAGCCAAGTTTCATGCTGCCCTGATAAGGCTTATACTTTTGTCATTCTCTGAACTAAATTGCATTTATAAGCCATTGTTTTAGATATTTATGTATCAAATTGAACTTTGTTGTAAAATCTGAATTAAAGTAATGTTATGGGATAATGCTTTATGTTAATTTGAGTAAAACAACTATTCTCCTAAGTAAACTTTTGTGGCATGATTTCATGTATACTGCACAGAAATATTTTGATGACATGGTTCAGAAACGCAAGGTAAAATTTACTTGATTTAAAGCAGTATCGTTTAGATTATTTTGATTACCTTCTCAAAGCCAAGTTTCACGCTGCCCTGATAAGGCTTATACTTTTGTCATTCTCTGAACTAAATTGCATTTATAAGCATTGTTTTAGATATTTATGTATCAAATTGAACTTTGTTGTAAAATCTGAATTAAAGTAATGTTATTGGATAATGCTTTATGTTAATTTGAGTAAAACAACTATTCTCCTAAGTAAACTTTTGTGGCATGATTTCATGTATACTGCTAAATGACTGATGTGATTCTCTGTCAGTAGTCTAAAGTTATTTTCTAATTTCATTTGAGAGAGTTGCATTGAACATTTTATTCAACATTAAATCTTTTATTATAACGGCTCTAAATGATGTCAAGCTCTTCTAAGTTGCCATTTCCATTGTGATTTCAACCTCTTTAGTGTATTTTTTACATTTTTCAGAGCCCTCATCCTTAAAATTTGGAAATAATGCTCTGCTCTTTCATGTAATAATTTGGAATGTATTAGTTGATCTTTGGCTATATTTGTGTCTCAGTGCTGAATGTAATTCCTATATGCTAGATTTACCTCTTGTCTAGATGCTTTGCTTCAAGGTTGCGGAGAATTCCTTGTTGGATGCACTAGCTTAAACTTCCATCCACTTACTAAAATTGGCTGTGGTTAAAGGGTCAACTTACTTAAATTAGTAGTTTGGCACTAGTTTGGCAATGGTTTGAGGGTTGATGTCATGCCAACAGTCCACATAGCCTTGTGGTCCGATTGACTCTGGACGGCAGAAAACTTATTGATTATGTATGTTATTTTATTAGTATTCATTATGCGTCATGCCCGTGGCCCGCAAGGCTGTTGGTGCAATGTAAGCCCTAGGACTCAGTGCAACATGTTGTTGCGCTCAGACCACAGCCAAAATGACTAGCCATTATTACACTTGACTCCCATGATCCACCTTATATACCCATCCATACTTGTAAATTTCCGATGTGGGAGACAAGTAAATGGGGTATCACATTGTGATGTGCTTTGTTTTGCAAAGTAGACTTGATTAGTTTCATCAACATATTTTTTCTCTTTTTAAGATGTTGAAACAATCACAATAAGAGCAACACGAGAAATTTTATATATTTTACAATGTCAATAATTCCTTCTGTGTTTAGAGAAATTTTATATATTTTACAATGTAAATAATTCATTCTGTGTTTAGTGAATATATCTAGGTGACAACATAACACCTATAACCTGTAAACAGGTGATAGTTTGCATTTTAAAGTTTTTAGATAATTAACGATGAATATCTTAAAATTCTTAGAAAGCAACAAAGCCAAGATGAGTAACTGATGAAAAAAAAATAACTAAGGAAGCTAGTAAAAGAAAAGAAAAAAAAAGTTAATAATAGGTGGCACTTGGCATTTTTTTAGATAATTAGCAATGAATATCTTAAAATTCTTTGAAAGCAACAAAGCCAGAATGAGTAACTGATAAAAATAATAAGCTAGTAAAAGAAAAAGAACAGTTAACAACAGGTGACAGTTGGCATTTTTAAGTTCTTAGATAATTAGCAATGAATCTCTTAAAATTTTTAGAAAGCAATGAACCGAGTAATGAATAAAAACAAGAAGCTAGTAAAAGAAAAAGAACAGTTAATAACTAGTCCAGTAGCAAATAAGAATAAAATACTATAAATTTTTGCAGCCTCTTAAGAATGATAGCCGTTAGAGATGGCTTATGTGACACAGAGACTGCATTGACCATATATCATTATACGGATCATGTGATTGTATGGAGCCACACAATAGACTGGAGGATAAATGTGCAACTTTTCTGCATAGCATATCTGCATAATCTTATATGACCCAGCTATGGCCCATTTATGATGATTGGTAGGATATCCATGTCTTACAAAACATAACTGAATTATCTGTGTTCTCCTTGACGAACTTTTGAAGCCTTGTATATAGTATGACTATGTAGCCTAAATGTCTGTTTGGTTCTCAGGATGTTGGTGCAACCCTAGTTATTTGTCAATGGGGTTTTGATGATGAAGCTAATCATTTGTTGATGCATCGTAATTTGCCCGCTGTTAGGTGGGTTGGTGGTGTTGAATTGGAATTGATTGCTATTGCCACAGGTATGTCTCTGCACCTAATTGTATGTGAAAAATAGGTTGTTCAACTTTGGTTCTTATGATTTGGCTTTTCTTCAGGTGGACGTATCGTTCCAAGATTTCAAGAACTTACACCTGAAAAACTTGGAAAGGTATGCTATAATTCGGTACACTTGCTAGGTCCATGACATGAGTGTTGTATTGCTGAACAATTTTCCTGATGCTTTATTCTATTTACATCTCTCAGTATACCATCAATAATATGTCAATTGGTTTTACTAGGCTTTCTATGAAGTTCATATAAATTTTAATTTTTGATAAATGCTATGAATGCATGATAACTATATAATCCATAGTTACACAGTACACGATTCGTAGTGGATCACAGTACAAATTCGAGTACGCAGTTCGCTACTTAGAAAATTTGGATAAAAATGGATTCGTTAGGGGGTAGCTTGCTTCGGTACGCAAGTTCGGTTAGTGGTACGTTGTAAATTATTTTAGGGTGTGCGTAAAGTTTTCCAAAGTATATGGTAGAAAACTAGAAAGCTAATTATAAATTTTAATATTTTTTCATACGAAATACTTAAATACTTCTTTTTGATGGAGTTTGTTTCTTTTTTCTATTTTTTTCACAGAGCTCGTTTTAGGATCATGGTTTCATGTTATATTTAATTAGCATATGTGTTTAGTTACATAAAGTCATCGGCTCGTACACTCTATTGTGTGTCTCCATTCACTTAATTGCACATGTTGCATTGCATCTTGTGCACGTGCACTTAAAGAGACTTTGCATCTAGCATACTTGTAAGTGATACGCTAATTTTGGGGAACCAGTTCGTGTATTGGAGGGAATTGGTTTGTAAATGTACCGGGAATCAGTTCGCAAGAAATGTACGACGGTTTGAAAGGGGCGGGGGTGGTCCGGCGAATTGCACAACGATGCTATAATCTTCGGGGGACAAGGCTTTAACGGAAGCAGTAAGCTAAACTAGTAGGGTATGTCGTAATTTTCTGATCTAGGTTATGGTTTTGGATACAAACTTGAAGAGAGAAATAATTGAAGTTTAGTATATGCATGATTGAACTCATATTGAAGAGATGATGCAAATGCAGCTGGTAGTTCTGGGATTAATGACTTTCGGGTTAGACTGACTGGTTATATTTGCTTGTCAGCGACAATGAACTTTTCTCATTTATAACAAGTGGCCAGAATGGTCCTAGTATTTAAAGGGCTATAACTGGCAATTGTGGTAATATAGGACACTCACGTACTCAACTGATACTTCAGTTCAGGTTAGGATAGGACATCTGAGTTGCTTCTTCTCCAGCCCTACTTTCTGTTCCTCGTCTGGATCCTGAACACCAGATGTGTGGAAACACAAGAGGAGAGGGAAATATAACCAGAAGGTATGCTGGTGTTTATCTTTGACATTGGATAGAACACCACTATATCGATAAATTAATTTTGAACAAGTTGGTTTGAGAATTCAGGTTTTAAGTCCACTAAATAGGGTGTTTAGCTAGACGAGGATGGGAGAAAATTTGGTTCCCTTCCTTTCCAAGGGTTTATGCTAGTTAACGGGAGAGGGCAAAAACTAATTTGTCTTATTGGAAGATAAAATAGGAAAGTGCAGAAAAGAGAAGGCATAACAGTAATATTGTGATATATTTATAGTAGTTTTTATTATCTCTTTCGTTCTTTACATTAAATACTTTACATTAAGTATTCCATTATTATTTTGGACATTTTGTCCCCAATTTGCAATCTCATCCTTGACTTCTGAACTTTCAGATAGGAAAGTACTTTGTTAAGTTAAATATTCTCTCCCCTACGTGCTGAAGGTCATCCCCCTATTTTCAAGGCTTGTCTTTACTCAAAACAAACATCCACAGTGGGTGGAAGTGCTCCACTTTTGCATTTCGACTCTCATTCCCATACAACCAATGAACCGAATACCCTCAAATGAAAGTTCTTTTATAAATGGTAACTGGGTTCATGACCCATAACCTACAGTCTTATCTGTAGTTGCCTAGGACTAAAAGTAACCTAATCCAATCACATATCCGCATCTCCACAAATGTGCTTTTTAACTTCATGCATAGTATATGGAAGCAAATGCTGTCATGCTTTGGTCATCCACATTCATTATTGTTTCAGCCTTCAGGAAACTACTTGAAAAACATCCTAGTACATTCTCACCCTACCCTAACTTGTACAAATCAAACTTATTGTCTTTTTCTAGTCTATCAAACTCACTGTCATGTAATTTTTATTCATGTTTTTTATGTTGAAGATTAACAAGCTGTATCACTAACTTTTTAGTGATATTTAGTCTTACAGTATCTGTTTTCAGCCAAATTTTCTCTGTTCTCACAAATGTGGATATTAAGTTAGATTCCGTGCAATATCCATATGTCATATCCTCGCAAATGCAACTGGATGATATCTATATGTTTGATATCAGCTTCATTTAAGCTCTTTCCTCTTAAACATGCCCCAGAGAGTAGACAGTTTTCTTAAATTATAGGAAACTGCAGCGGAAGTCATGGGAACTGGTTCAGAAACTAAGGAGAATACCTAGTATTGTGGACATACCCACTCAAAACTGTGTTCCTGGCCCAGTTCTTCTCTAAACCAGATCTGAATTGAACTGGTTTTTTTTCTTGTTTTTTTTGGTTTTTTTTTGTGTGTGTGTGGGTGGGGGTGGGGGGTGGGGGAGTTGCTTGTCCAAAGAAAAACTAGTTTTATGGTCAAGTTTTGCCAAACAAGAAATAGCCCAAAACTGAGCCAGTTTAAGTCCTGGCCCAGTTTCAAGGGATTGCCAAACACACTGTAAAAGATGCTGTGAGAACCTTAGGTTAACCTATTCCAATGTTTTGGAAAACCTGTTCTTATTCTCTTTGTATATATAATGTTAAAGTACCTGCAATTTTTTTAAAGGTTGACTTGTATACATACTAGGTATGCTTTAGTTCGGATCTTTTCTTAAAGTTTGTATCTTGGTCTTATGTATTGTTATTTTCCTGAAAGATTCTCATGAATTTAACGTCCACACCAGTTATTTCTAGAATTCTGTTAAGGTTTAGGTTTTTTTGATGAAATCTGTACTATATTCACAAATTTGTTCTCATGACATTTTAAATAGAGCTTCCTGCTTCCCTTTCCTTTCCATTCTGTTTTTTGTTCCCAAATTTTTTTGTTTCTGTAATCTGTGTCGTGCAAATTTGCTATAGCCATACTTGTAATCATAGTTGCATGGAGCCCAGTTCGTTTCGGTTCGCGGGATGGGTACGGGAGTATTGTATGCCACTCATTGGGAATCGGGTATGAGGAGGTAGGCTTATATTGTTTGCCAGGGAACGTTGTACGTTTTAGGTTCGGTTCTTAAAGGTTGAGATCAGAGGTTTTGCAAGAGGCAAATTTAAGAAATATGTCAGCTGATATCAATAAAAAAAACCTTGAGAATCATGTTGCAATTAGGGCGTGCATATTTTATTTGTTTAATTTCTCACTTTTTTTGGTGCTTAAAAGAGTTATTATTGTTCAAAATTTTAATTGGTGAATTCTAAATCAGTTTGCGCAAGTTGGTGAATCAGGTCGTGTTCGACTGTGAATCGGGGACGATTGAACCGGGGTCGTGGTTTGCTATATCGTCCCACATTCCGGACTTGTATGCTTGTAATACACACACACACCCACCCACCCCCACACCCACCCACCCATGCTCACCCAAACCCACCTTATTTACGTGTACACATATGTAACATCTTTATATGTCTAGATACTGTTATGAGATGTAGATGATTATTCCTTATGTGTACACATATGTAACATCTTTGTATGTCTAGATTCTCTTTTGAGATGTATATGATTATTCTTTAATTGAATGCATCTATATTATGTTTTATGAATTGTTTATTGTGCATATATACAGGCTGGTCTGGTTAGAGAAAAATCTTTTGGAACTACAAAAGATAGAATGCTGTATATCGAGCAATGCGCAAATTCAAGGGCTGTAACAATATTTATTCGTGGTGGTACGTCTGTATAGCCTATTTCATTCTCTTTTCTAGTTGGTAGATATTGGAGATAATTTTCTTTATTTTCATTTTCTTTTCAGGGTTTCTCACTTTCTCTTGTGGAGCACTCATTGCTTTGCTGTAATATATAAGAATTAGTCTGGATGCTAGTGTATTCATTAGAGGGAGATATTAAATATACATCCTAACATGATTGAATATTTCCGGATAGTAGCAAATGAAATTGTTAACCAGGTTCATAGTATTAAATAGCCTTTACCTCTCTAGTGGAATCTCACTCACTATACACAAGAAAGATACAAGAAAAAGTTTGTATGTTCCCTTATTTCTGTAGTGAAGCCAGACCTGTTAATTAACTTGTTTTCCTGAACCTGAAAGTCACATTTAAATAAGTACCTTAGCTTGAACTCGTTGCATTTGAAAGTTTTTTGCTTAAAATTTTGTATCTATTCACTGGATTCTAGTTATGATTATATTTACCCCAACTTATTTTTTTTCCCTCCAACGTAAGTGCAAGGGTCAGGAAATTGCCCTATCATCTGATTCTAGAATCCAATACCATTTTAGTGGGTTAACGGAGGAGCAACTTCTAGAGGGAATGCTTTATCTCTATGCTTTGTTCTTAGCTCATCCTTTTCACCATTTGCTATTTTTGTACAATTGCAAATTACAGTTTGCACTAGAATAACTTGTGCAAAACATACTTGTTATAACTGATTATTGTTCCAGCATATCTTTGATTATGTTTGTCATCTGTTAGGATTTTTTTTACTTTAGTTCATATATCGAGGGATTATTTTCTTAGAATGTACTAGTTTCCTCAATATACACATTAGTTTAGTTCATATATCGAGGGATTATTTATCTAGTAGTTTCCTCAATATACACATTAGTTATGTAGAATGTTCTACCTTCCTGTAATCATTAATGATGTGCACGCTGGATGATTTCTTTATTGGTACACAGCCAATATTGATAGGACAACTAAGCAGGTAAATCAAATAGATAACTTTTGCATATTATTGTGTGATCTAGTTAGTTGGTATGATATCTTCTTTATTCTGCTAGTCAGTTCTTTCAAAGCTCAGTGCTCTGTGTATGAAGTGATTTCCAATAACTGTTCATATAGGAAGCGAAACTCTACCCCACATTAGTTGCTTACAGATCTATGTTTAGAGGTACTAGGTTTACAAAAAGCGACAGAACTGATACTGGCAAATATTGGGCAACACAAAAATCAGATTTTGACATATCCTTATGGAAGGACCCTTTTATTTGGATTCAGCTGTTACTTGCAGTTTCAACTAGCAACTTATTAGTTTTGGCTCAAAAATTGACCAAAACAAGTGGACGGAGGGGGGTGGGGGGTGCGGCGGGGGGGGAGCAACTTATTAGTTTTGGCTCAAAAATTGACCAAAACAAGTGGACGGAGGGGGGTGGGGGGTGCGGCGGGGGTGTTTGGGTTGCCAGACATGGATAAGCTGAAAGGAAGTAACGATTAAAAAAAAAACAACAACAAAAGAGGGTTTTCCAATATCAGATTTTTGAAATAAAATTTCTTACCATGTATCAGATTTTTCTGATATATACCCTCTCACATTGAATTCTTTAGGGCAGTCAATCTTCTCTTTGGCATAGGGCTTTTATTTGGCCCAAACTGCTGTTTGGTATGGCTAGTGGTTGTTCTCATCTGGATTCTTGGGTCATATTGAAGTTGCCTTGTGATTGGGTTTTTGTGACGCACACAAAGTAGTCTATGAGTTAGCTGGGCTAGATGAAAGTTATGAATTTTATGATTGAATCGCGGATGCCTCAATGTTATAGTTAACTTTCTACGTGGTCATGTTTTCCTGAACGCCATCTATAAATTTCAGAAATCATACTTGCAGCTGCAAATACAGTGGATTGTAAATCTTAGACATGTTTTTTTATTTGGGGGGTGTGCTTAGATGAGGAAGTTTGACAAGGGAAAAGTGGACAAGATGTGAGTTTGCCATTAATCCAAGAAGCCTTATCTGGGGGTAGTAAAAACAAATTTATTCATCATGCAGTTCATGCTTGTGCAGTTAGGAACATAGACAACTACATGAATCATACATGCAACTACAAAAAAATTAGATTTGCATTATGCACCATATCTTAAGTGGGTTCTGAGATCTGACAAGGAGCCATTTTAACTTGTTGGTGGCAAATTCTGTCTTCTGGTGATTGACTCGTTGTTAGTTATTAATTATTAGATGTTAACTTTTGTTTTGCTGATGATTTGACTTCTGATAAGGAAATTAATTAGCTATTTACACCATCTTGCTGAATATAACAATTGCTTGTTAGAATATATGTTTACAAAAATGTTAGTTCACATATCAGCTACTACAAATATGTTCACAGCTTAGGTGTGTGGACATTCTTTCATTTGCAAAGGATACCTTGGTAGTCACTTGCAGTTATTAGTTATGCATTTTTACTTTGTTTAGCAATAAATGGTATGCACCGAGAAAACCATGCACTGTATGTACAATGATAAATTCTCGACATTTTTTGGACTTTTTGATTGTTCCAGAATTTCATATTCAATTTTCTGAGTTATTTGCTATGTATCATTTGAAATACATCTGTTGTGTTCCTAGACATAGTGGTGGGTAGCAATGTGCTCTGATTGGTTTGGAAGATACTGGGGACATTTAGTAGCCAAATCCAAAAATTCTGGTGGCATTATGAGAGGATTAAAACTCATATATTGGATTCCAGTGGGGTCTAGATTTTGGGTTTTCAGGTGCAGATGAATTGTGAGCAGTTAAGACAGGTTTAGCATATGGCTTGTTATGTTAAAATAAAAATGTTTTAATTATAATACATATCATATTTTTGTCGTTCATTTAAAAAAATAAAAAGACGTACACACCTTAACCCCCCTACATGTATACTGATATGTTAGATGTAATCGTATTATACACAAACAAATAACATATGATATATGAATATATACATTTATTATTGAGGTTATGCAAGTTTGGTTTCGTGATACAGGGTATGATCCAGGCAGTTTTTTTGATGAAATTGAAAATTTCCTGCTGTTCAGGTATTGGTGGATTTTCCCATGTTTTTTAGAACTCGTAATTGCAGGATGCGTTCTGATAGGCTATGGTCCTTCCTGCCGAGTAATAATTTTTACACTCAATTTCCTGAGCAATGAGTAAAAGTTCAGAGTTGCTTAGAATGGCAGGGTACACTTGTGGAAGCCTACAATATATAGCAAAGGGATTAAAAATTGATGAAGCACCTATGCCTTAATTATCAAGTTGCAATTCTTTGCTGCTTGGACGTAGTAAGCTGCAGATATTTTCCCCGTTCACCTTATGGACAATCCTAGTAGGCACAGTATCTGAGAAATATGTAGCTGATAGGAGGATTTGGTATTTGTGCAAACAATGGATGAACAAGTTTTATTTGAAAAGTTTGCTTTTCTAAAATGCACTACTTATCTTAGCTAAACTAATTTGTCATATGAACTCAGAAAAATGTTGGTAATTGATCAGATTGTTTGCCCTTCCTGACTTAGGTAACAAAATGTTGATAGAGGAAACTAAGAGAAGCATCCATGATGCATTGTGTGTAGCAAGGAATTTGATCCGCAACAATTCTATTGTTTATGGTGGGGGTTCAGCTGAGATCTCTTCTTCAATTGCTGTGGAAGCCGCTGCGGATAAGTACCCTGGAGTTGAGCAGGTGAATACTTTTATAGCATTTTATTTAGAAAATGTCGAGTTTGAATTTTTGAACCTTAACTTCTTGAAACTTTTTTTCAGTATGCTATCAGGTCCTTTGCTGATGCTTTAGATGCCATTCCGATGGCCTTGGCAGAAAACAGTGGCCTGCAACCTATTGATTCTTTAACTGCTGTCAAAGCTCAGCAAATCAAGGTGAATATAATTACTCTGAAGTTTAACTGTGTGCTTACTGCGTGTTGAATGCTGAGGATTCCTTCAGGAACTCACAGCAGAATAGTTGGCGTTCTTGCAATTATTTTATTTGAGCTGATTGCTGGTCATTTGATCTGTTGCCCTAATTTTCTTTTGTCTGACGATTCATACATCTCTTTATTGGGTTTAGATTTCTTATACTGCGAAAAGGGCAAAATAGCACTTGCACCCTATTGTTTCATCTACTTTTAACTTATATACCCCCATTGTATTTGATAGCATGAAAATACCCTAAAGTTGTTAAAACTTGAACTTCTATACACTCACTTGTTTTTGGTAGTTTTTATATACCCTAAAGTTATTATGCCTTGCACATAGATACCTTAAAGTTTTTAAATTTGGCACTTAAATACCCTAAAGTTTTTAAAACTTGCACCTAAATACCTCAATTTTGCATAACTTAAGGGTATTTATGTGCAAGTTTTAAAAACTTTAGGGTATGTAATGCTAGTATAGGGTATTTAAGAGCCGCCAAAAAAGTGAGGATATATAGGTGCAATTTTAAAAAACTTTAGGGTATTTTTTTGCTACCAAATATAAGAGAGGGTGTATAAGTAAAAAGTAGATGAAACAATAGGGTATATAAGTGCTATTTAGCCTGAGGAAAGAAGATGTTAGGAAGTTTTCTAAAATCGAGGAAAGAACATAATATAGGAAAGACTTTTTGTTTAATATCTCTACTATCTAACATGGATGTCACAAGTAGAGTGTGAGTTTGAACACTAAAAAACAAACGTATACTATCGATCACGTTCGTAGGAATGCAAATTAATGTCTAGTACAAATTGTATGACAAATCATCTGACTTGATATGTTACTTATGACTTGGTAAGAACTTCAGGAATGGGCTATATTATAAGTATATACTACGATGGTGCTCACATTGTCAAATGGATTTTTGCTCATCCTTGCAGGATAAAAATCCATACTGTGGCATTGATTGCAATGATGTCGGGACCAATGACATGAAAGAGCAGAATGTATTCGAGACATTGATTGGAAAGCAGCAGCAGATATTACTGGCAACACAGGTTGTTAAAATGATCTTGAAGATCGATGATGTCATCAGCCCATCTGAGTACTGATCAATTTTTGTGAGTTTGTTGTGTGTTTTTATGTTTGAAGAAGCCTCTGCATTAGGATTTACAGAAAAAGTGTTGTGCCATTGTTTCTATGCTTAATTGTGGTATTACGCTGTCAGTTTCTTTTATTTTTCTTCTGTTCTCTTGCTCTTTCTTTCTTAGTTTTGTGGATGTTATGAAAACTTACAAAGTTAGAGCCTAGTTTTGTAACTTCTGTTGAATTTTGTTCGCCTATTCTGATTTCAGCTCGTGACAACTTCATCTTGAGTTTATTTGAAGAGTGTTTCGAGTTGATACTATTACAATAGATGATGCTAGAAGCCCGCCAAATGAGGTTGCTAAACCTATTCGTATCCGAGAAAATATCAGTAACTGTATCCGTTAGGATGTGGATATGTTTACTCAAATTTATAACCCATAGGATATGGTTGTGGATATGGTTTTTTAGTGAAATATCCGGATTCGTATCTGAATTATCCGAATGCATATTAGTCATATTTTTATGATAGTTTTAATTCTTAGATTATAGATTTGAGGTTAATTTTGATGATTAAGACGTCTAATCTTAGGTTTTTAGATATGATGAACATAAAAATGAACTTTTTTGTATCACATGAACTATTTTTTTCAACACTATTTAGTTTTCTCATAGCAGTTTTGTATCCGCGTGCATATCTACTTATATATCTGTATGTATATTTATATTCGTATTTAATTTTAGCCGATATAGATATGAATTTTCCTTACCGAGGTATGTATGTATCTGTATTTGTATCTGAGGTGGGTAAACGAATATTAATATGACAAGTATTATATCTGAGTCGTATCCAAACCAAATGCACCCCAGCTTTGGAAAATGTTGCAAGATTATAGGTAGACAAGGGGGACAAAAGGACTTGGGGTCGGATTGACCATCAAGAACTACAATTCTATACTACAGTGTTCATTCTCGTAGCTACCTTCAATAGTCTTTATTAATATTAAACTCTTTTATTAGTATTTATTATCATCGACTTGTCTGTTTAAGAAGGAGTGAATCCTTTTCTAATGAATTTAAAGGTGCTAAATGGGTTTGAAAAGTTCTTAGATGCTCTGTCCTATGAGCATTACACTACAACAGGAGAAGAGTATATAACAAAATAAAATTATTTAATTCCGTCATCTTCTTATTTATAAGCGAGTTGTGTCGTATAATATTTTCCTATTGGTGTGGTGTAGTGATTATGGAGCATCTAAGAATTTTTCGTCGCTAAAATGGTGAGAGGTAATTGCTATTGAAGGTGTGGATAAGGAGTCTGTAATTTTATCAAAGAAGGGTCAAATTCTGTCCAGGCAACTGCATTTTTGTAACCTCACCCATGTAATTCCTTGTCCCCTTTTAAATTATTTTTTCACAAGATAAACGCCCTAAAATTCAACTTTTGAAGTTTTTACCCCGTATAAAAAAGCATAAATTTCAATTACCTTGTTTTTAATGATCCTGATTTTATAGGGTGTTCGGTTCAATTTCTACAAATTATAGAAAATGTTTTCATCAAAAATATGATTTTCTTGTATTTCTTAAAGAAATTATAGGAAAAATTTTGAGAAGTCAAAAAGTACAAATTTTCTTGTTTTTTTTACTTTGCTTGTTTGGTTCAAAACAAGAAAATGACCAATAACTTTATAGAAAATAGTAAGATTTTCTATAATTTGTAAAAATTGAACCAAATACCCCCTAAATTTATAGAAAAGTGTTAACTTTATAGAAAAATGTCAATGTGGTGTCAGATTTCTGGGTGATTTTCGCCAATTATGAGAGGAGATTGATTTTTATAAATTTTGGTGCTTTGTACTTTACAGAAAACATTTCTGTAACTTTTTTTTGAATCAAACACAGTTTAAGAAAATCTACAAAAAATTTTTAATTACAAAATTATCAGATATTTTAAGAAAAAAATTATTAATAGAGAAAGTATTGGTGGGAGACGAGTGGTAGAGGATATCATGGAGTTGGGAGTAAGAGCAACTCCAACAATGATCCTAGCTTTTCCCTATATTTGAGGAGCAAATATCCCATCATAAGAAATAGGGAGCCAAATAAGGAGCAAGTGCTCCAACAATGCTCCCTAAATAGTTTTGGACATTTTTCATTTACCTCCTTTTGTAATAAATAATTATAACGGCTATATTATAACGGCTATATTCCAACAACTAAATTGTAACGGCTATATTTCAACGGCTATATCATAACGGCTATATATAACGGCTATATTCCAACAACTAAATTGTAACGGCTATATTTCAACGGCTATATCATAACGGCTATATTATAACGACTATATTCCAACAACTAAATTGTAACGGCTATATCATAACGGCTATATTATAACGGCTATATTCCAACAACTAAATTGTAACGGCTATATTTCAACGGCTATATCATAACGGCTAATATGACCTCTATAAATAATATCATATGCACTCTCATTTTTCACTCAACTCAAATTGTGTTCATTGTTAGCATCATTTTTCCAATATCATCTATGTCTCATAGCAACGAAATAGCTGCGCTCCTCATGGAAGAAGAAGCTGACGAGGAATACGCAATGTTCTTAGGAATGACCGCCGTTGAAGAGGAGCGGGTGGCTAACGAGAGGAATGCATCGCGTCGTCTTGGTTCCGTTCGAGGCCATGTTGTCATTCAACGCGATAGAGTTCAAGGTTATAATAGACTTTATCGTGACTATTTCGCTGAGGAGCCCGTTTATGGTCCACGACTATTTCGAAGGCGGTTTCGAATGCATCGTCCACTTTTCCTCCGAATTGCATCCGCGGTGGAAGATTTTGATCCTTACTTTGTCCAAAGAAGGAATGCTGCAGGTAATCTTGGTTTATCATCCCTTCAAAAAATAACAGCCGCAATGCGGATGCTTGCTTATGGAGTATCTGCAGATTTTGTGGATGATTACGTGCGGATTGGTGAAAGCACGACTATTGAAAGTGTTAAAAGGTTTGTCAAGGTCGTTGTTGAAATTTTCGCCGATGAGTATTTGAGGTCACCAAACAATGACGATATCAGAAGATTGCTAGAGATTGGTGAACAACGCGGATTTCCTGGAATGTTAGGGAGCATAGACTGTATGCATTGGAGATGGAAGAATTGTCCGGCTACGTGGCATGGGATGTATGCTAGTCACGTCCATGAGCCAACAATTATTTTGGAAGCCGTTGCGTCATACGATCTTTGGATATGGCATGCATTTTTTGGGTTACCAGGATCTCATAATGATATTAACGTCTTGGAAAGGTCAAATCTCTTTACCGAACTTACTGAAGGTCGTGCCCCTCCAGTTAAATACTCTATTAATTCTCATGAGTATACGATGGGATATTACCTTGCTGATGGTATATACCCACAATGGTCAACATTTGTAAAAACAATTTCTGCTCCACAAGGAAATAAGAGGAAAATTTTTGCACAAGCTCAAGAATCAGCAAGAAAGGATGTAGAGCGAGCATTTGGGGTCCTCCAAGCACGCTTTGCAATTGTGCGTGGACCAGCGCGATTTTGGGATCAAGAAGTACTAAAAGATATTATGAAAGCATGTATCATAATGCATAATATGATCATTGAAGACGAGCGAGATATTAATCAATGCGATTTTAACTATGATGCAATCGATGAAAGTCCAACTATATCATTGTCTCGTGAGCGCACACCATAATTTATTGAATTTATTCAAACCCACCATCGCATTAGAGACAGACAAACACATTCTCAACTGCAGGCAGATCTTATTGAGCATTTGTGGCAACGACATGGTGGAGACTAGGAAGCATTGTGTGTTGTGTTAGTTCTATTATCTGTTGTGTTAGTTCTATTATTTCTCTTGTTAGTTCTATTGTCTGTTGTGTTAGTTCTGTTATTTTTCTGTGTTAGTTCTATTGTCTGTTGTGTTAGTTCTATTGTCTGTTGTGTTAGTTCTATTGTCTGTCTTGTTAGTTTTATTGTCTGTTGTGTTAGTTCTATTGTCTGTTGTGTTAGTTCTATTGTCTGTCTTGTTAGTTCTATTATCTGTTGTGTTAGTTCTATTGTCTGTTTTGTTAGTTCTATTGTCTGTTGTGTTAGTTCTGTTTAGTGTCATGTTAGTTCTAATGTGCAGAGTGTTAGTTCTATTGTCTGTTGTGTTAGTTCTATTATTGATAGTGTTAGTTCTATTGTCTGTTGTGTTAGTTCTAAATTGATAGTGTTAGTCCTAATGTCTGGCGTGGTAGTTCTGTCCACCTCAGTTTTAGATCTAATGTGGGGGCTTATCACATGAAGTTCCCACTTTTGGGGCCTGGACACAATTTTCCCATTTTTTTAATTCAATCACACATAATAACATAAGCTTAATTACTGAAAATGATACATAACAACATAAAAACACACATAGTGAAAATAGCACAGCTTACAACATAATACTTATTAAACAATGACAACTAATTAAAACTACCATCAATTCCTTTAGCAATGATTCGCATCTTGAGTTGTTTGTAATATTCTGCTTGCATTGGATCCATGTTACTAGTATCAATTGACATGATTCTTTCATCTTCTCTTTGTTGTTCCAATCGAAGTTTTTCTTTCTTAATAAGAATCTTCTCTTGTTCTTGAACATATATTCTGTCAAGTTGTTCTTGTCTCTTCTGATTGTTCACATCAAGCTTTTCAACGAACTCTTCAAATTTCTATGCCATAGGCATACTTGTATCAAACTCACGTTTTCCCTTTCCCTTTCTTAACAGTTCCTTTGTAGCTTTTCTTCCTATTGGTCTTTCCAATCCTTCGGAAAAGGTATCACGAGCAATATCATCTTCTCCCAAATTTATTGTATCTGGACTTGAAGGAATGGAACTTGCAGGACTAGAACTTGCATGACCAGATTTGTATGGAGTTTTAGATTTTTTTTTAGAACTATCAATTCTCCACTTTGGTGCATCTTTTAATTCTCTCCAGCAATGAAGAAATTGAAATGGATGTTTTTGGATGCTCGTGTACAATTCCACTGCTTGACATACCTATTTAAAAATTAAGCCTACTTAAAAATTATTATATGTAAATACGATATTAAAATTTTTGAATGAAATTAATACCTTATCGCTCTCACTAATACCACTTTGTTGCCTTGCTGAAATTTGAGCATAGTAGCCACAAAATTTATTTACAGAAAGTTGAATTAACGACCAACGCTTCATTAAAGAACTTGCCGTCCGTTGAGATTCACAATTCTTGAATTGATGGAAGTAACCATGCACCATTTGCCAATATCTTTCATTTTTTTGATTGATCCCTTGCACTGCATCCGTGCTTATGTTGAGCCATGCAGATACAAGTAGAATGTCTTCTTCCACGGTGAAGTTTTTCGTCCGTCCGGTTTTTCTAAAAACATTATTTTCAGTTGACTCAACTGGCATAACAGATTGACTGGGATTTTCATCTACTAGACCACTATCAGACAATGATCCCTCATTTAGTAGAGAAGTGTAATAATCCATCTGTCCAAAAATAATACAAATTAATGTCAACACTATAATTAGTTTAAAAAATTAAAAATGAAATGAAAACTAATAAATCAGTTGTAAGTATAAAATATGAGAGAAATAAAATAATTAAGAGATGAACTAATTTACTTACCTTTAAAGAAAAATAGTATAATGTCAAGTGCTTTTAAATTAGGAGATGAACTAATTTATCCTATACAAAGATGCAATATTTATAGATGAAAGGAGAATGAGAGGGGTTTGAATGCAAATATGGCCGTTGCTTTTATGAACCGTTGCTTGTCATTGTGCATATAGGGAGCCTCTCACTTGTCTTTGATTTGGAAGATGCCCACAAGCACCCTATATTTGGAATATGGGATAGGGAGCTTGTTGGAGCCTATAATTCAACTCCTACTCCCCAAATTTGATCAAGGACAAAGGATGAGGAGCCTCTTGGAGTTGCTCTAAGGGACTGTTTGTTTCGCACAAAAATTGCAGAAAGAGCCCAAAAAACCGACATAAGAAAATTTTACATTTTCTTTCACAATCATATGTTTGGTTTGCAAAAAATAAAAAGAGAAGTGAAATAAAGTTAAGGGGCCACATAGGATTCTTATACCGAAAAATTTCAGCTCTTTTTTTTGCCGATTTCGGGGGAAAACACAATTTTTTGCCGATGTCGCGGGCCCCACAGCGGACGCCACTCCTTGGCGGCGCCTAAAGATCCTCAGGTCGCTGCACTCCGTCGAAAACCCTACTCCCAACCCCCCAGCGAGGCGGCGGAGACCGACGATTCGCGGGCGCCAGCATGCGACGAGACGGCGGCGACTGAGGTGGGGCGGAGCAGCAGAACGGAGAGGGAGTTGAGGGCCGTGGCGGCCATGGCCATGGAGGAAGCAGCGATCAGAAGAACGAAACCCTAGGCTTCGATTCTTTGAAATTCTTAGAAAATTGAAGGGGAGGTTCTTGTGGCGTGAAGAGAGAGAGAGAGAGCGAGAGAGAGAGAGTGAGGACACTGAGGTAGGCAAACTGTGCTTTGGTTAAATGGGTCGGGCTTGGCCATATGAGATGATTATATGATTTTGGAATTAACCCCTCAAATCTTTGAATATGTTGCAAATCACTACTTTAAAACTTTTTTATAAATTGTAAATTAGTCCCTTAAAATTTTAAATATTTTTAGGTGACGGTTGATATATGTTCATCTCTCAATTTATGTTGGAAATAAATTTATCCTATAATGGTGGTAAGCACACCATGGTGATCATAGTCATAATTTTTTATTTTTTTCATTTGAACCAAACACTAGAAAGTGAGTGAATCTTTTCACATATCATTTGTTTTCTTCTTTTTTCAAGTTGAACCAAACTAAGAAAAGTGGTGGAAAATACTTTCAGCCTATATTTTTTGGCCAAAAAAACACAAAAAACACTTTTCATGAGTGAAGGAAACATAAAAAAGTAAAAGAAAATCATTTGTAGAAAATGAAGGAAACGAACCAAACAGGCAAAGGAAAAACAAGAGGTCAGCCAACCATATATCCATGTTCCTCTACAGAAATCATGGTCAGAGTAGGGGAAAGTGAAGGAAGGATTGAAAATTCCTCAATAATTAGTTGAGTTTTTAGGAAAATTTATATTTGTGTTGGGCAAATTGGTAACTTTGAATTGAGTGGACATATTGACCATTTCTTCTTTCATTAAACGCATCCCCCTCCCTCTCACACATATTATAAATTGAGTGGAAAATTTATAATTTGTGTTATATTTTAACTGTTGTAATCTTGTTGTTATATCTACATACATCACATGTTATAAGTAAGAATCGAACATGAAATATAAGAATAAATAAATAGAGAAGAGAAGAGATAGGGAGAAAGTGATCATCTCATTTTTATTCATCTTCATTTCTCCATACATTTTGTCTTCCATAACTTACATTATATAGATGTGGAAGAGAATACTAAAAGTCACAAGTAGGTGAAGAGACTTCTTCTAGTAATATCCACATTCATTTCATTTATATTTAAAACACTCCCCCTTGGACATTACTGCATGATGTCAATGCCTCGTTAAAAACCTCGCTAGAAAAAACCCAGTGGGAAAAACTAGTCGAGGAAAAGAGTACATGACATACATACATTATTTCTGTTACATCAGTTGTCTCGTTAAAAACCTTTCGCTAAGAAAAACCATGTAGGACAAAAACTTAGCAAAGGAAAAAAGAGTACAACTATAGATCTTCGGGATCCAAACTTGTGTTGCATTAGCTGCCTCGTTAAAAACCTTTGGCTAAGAAAACCTAGTGGGACAAAAACTTAGCTAAGAAAAAAAGAGTACAACCACCGCTTTCGGGGTTTGATCTTCAGGATTATTCTGAAAAATAATTCGCTCCCCCTCAAGACAACAAACATTCAAGTCTATGCATACCGTGGTGACCAAGCACGATACCATAAAATTAAAAGTTAATGTATTAAGGGATTTGGTGATCAAATCGTCTAGATTGTCACTACTTAGAACAAACTTATCTATGTTAATTTCATTGTTATTTTCGAGTGCAAGTGGATAAAATTTTTTTACATCTCATTTATGCAACACAAGTTACATTGTTCTTAGAAAAGACAGCGGGGGTAATATCCTTGTCTAATATGCCACACGATTATCAAATGTGTTTTATCAGCGATTTGAACCTTACACGTTCGCATGGAGCACATATAGAGGAACAATCTCTGAGTGGTTTTAACTAGTAAACATTGTCTGCTTAATAGACCTCCAAGAAATAACAGTACCACTGGAGATAAAAATATAACCAGTCAAAGATTTAGCAATATGGGGATCAGTCATATAACCAACATCAGAATAGCCCACCAATGTCATATTTCGATTTCTTTTATAGAATAGACAAAGATCTCTAGAAGATACCAGAGGATATATTTAACATTATTTCAATATCCCCTTTTAGGAGATGCACTAATTTTTGCTAGCAAGTGTAACACAAATGCAATATCAGGTATGGTACAATTTGTAAGATAAATAAGTGCTTCAATAGCACGCTCAAATACAAGACTTCGGGTCCTAAAGTATCCTCGTTATCTTCTTTAGGTTTGTATGAGTCTTTATCCACTTCAAGGGATTTAACAACCATTGGTATGCTAAGTTCATGAGATTTATTCATTAAAAATCTCTTCTTGACCTTCTTCAGGTAGGTTGACTGGTATACCAATATTTCTTTAGGAACATTCTCGAATTGTAGGTCGAGACAACACTTGGTTTTTCCTAAGTTTTTTCATTTCAAACTCCATCTTTAGTAGGGGTGCCAAACCGTATCTGTATTCGAGGAAATATCCGTAACCGTATCCGTTAGGATACGAATATGGTTACTCAAATCTATTACTGATAGGATATGGTTGCGGATATGGTTTTGTAGTGAAATATCCGTATCCATATCCGAAAAAATCCGAATACATATTGGTAATACTATTACGATAGTTTCGATTCTTAGATTATGGATTTGTGGTTAATTTTGATGATCAAGATGTCTAATCTTAGCTTTTCAATCATAATGAACATATTAACGAACTCTTTTTGTATCACATGACTATATTTTTCTGAATACTATCTAGTTTTCTCATATCCTTTTTGTATCCGCATGCATATCCGTTTATATATCTGCATCTATATCCGTAACCGTATCCGATTTTGGCGGATATGGATATGAATTTTTCTTACCGATGTATATCCGTATCCGTATCCGTATCCGAGATGAGTAAGCGGATATGGATATGGTAAGTGCCATATCCGAGCCGTATCCGCTCCGTTAACACCCCTAGTCTTTAGGCATGAGCTAGCTTTTGTAAGCTCCTTGTGCGTTCTAATAACATTTATATCATCAATATAGACTGAGATAATACATAAGCCATTTTTGAATTTCTTTATAAACACACAAGGGCAGACATCATTATTTGCATATCTCCTCTTCAGGAGGAACTCACTCAGTCGGTTATACCACATTCTACACGATTGTTTCAAGTCGTATAACGATCTTTGCAATTTAGTGCTATACATGTTGCAATTCTCGTTTTCTCTCAATTCAGGAATTTTAAGTCCATCAGGACCTTTCATATAAAAATATTAGCGTCTAATGACACATATAAAAATATGGTCATGACGTACATATACTGCATATATAAATTTATAGTTTCTGTCATAGGTATTAACTTGCGGAACGTAATACAATCACTAATAGGAGAATGTTTTATATCTAAATCGATGCCGGGTCTCTGCGTGAACCCATTGAGCTATGAATCTCGCTATATATCTCACCACCTTACAATTCTCATTTATTTTTTTACGAAGACCCATTTATATCCTGTAGGGATATATGGACTACAAGTTCAAAATACTTTAGCGAGTTCAGCTCAGCCACAATTGCCACTTTTCATCTCACCTAGTATGAGTGTTTCAAGCACTCTGCTACCGACTTAGGTTCTGGATCCAGATTATTTTTAGAGATAGTAAGAGTAACTGTAGAGACAACTATGTTGTCGACAACTTTTATATTTCTATTATATATTTCTCATTTTTCACAAATTCGTGGCCACTTTAATTCTAATTTTATGTCAACCAAATCCTTGTCGTTTCCCTTAACAATTAGATTTGGTCGTTCCGCATCTCCGGTATTATGATTATCAAGCACGTGCAACTTTACTGGAGATTCCATCTTCAGGATGAACCTCTTCCGGAGGTTATGAGAGTGACTGTCTTTCTATATTAGATTTGGTGTGCCGCGGACTTTTATCTTTTTCACTAACAAGTTTCCTATGCCTCTGGTGCAGTACGCTTCTGGCGTACCAAATCATCAATGATATACTCAACATGAATATGGGGCTTAGTTACTCTTTTCTTAACAGATTATCATGTGAACTTCTGGTTCAGTTTGACTAGTACGTGGATATAAATATTGAAGATCTTTTTCATCAATGGAATTTCTTCACATTATTTTGTATTTTAGGTACTAATCTCCTCCTAATGTCGAGAATTGATCTTCAATAAAAATGCAGTCAGCGTACCAAATTGTAAATTAATCCCCTAACATGGGCCATAGATACTAAATTATTAACGGAGTTTCATAAATAATGTATGTACCTTCACCGAGGTCCCATAGAGGTACGCTATGGTGGTGATATAGAAACATGGACTGCAAATAAAGAATACGCAGATGGGAAATGTTTCGCTTCTTCACCACGTATTAGATAAAGGAGGAAAATTTTGATATGCAGTTGGTCGAATTTGGTTTGAATGCCCCATTTAATTTAAGGAAATCCGATAAATTATATTTTGCCCAAGATGACCCAATAGCTCATGCCAGAATTTAAAAGAATTTAGGTCCCTAAATCTTAAAAATCATCGTAACATGGTGTATTTTAGGTCAGACAAATTCTAAAGTATACACATATGAATAAAAACCACATAGGTTCACAAGAGTTTAAAACAAACTCAAGATAAATTAAAATTGTCTGACAAATGCATATAATCCAAATATAGAAAAACCAAATAGTTTACCTTGACCACCTCGATAAGATCCACTACCTCCCCATCGTCCAAGCTTATGAATATTAGTTTGAATTATGACATGTGCTTCAGGCACTACGATTGAACCAATTAAACTTGCATTATGGTTTCTCACAATAGCTAGTTGTGTTTTTAACAACTATTAATACAAGGATTAGTTCATAATGCTTAATATAATTTTTAGTTATACTATTGTAAGAGTATAATGTTACTTGTTGAATTGTATTCAGTCGAGAGTTTAAAATCTAAAAATGGCTACATGATAAGATCTCCTACTATGTTCATAGCCTCCCCCTTGTCCACGCGTATAAGTAATTTTCTATTTTGTAGCATGTGCTCCAAACACAACTCGTAAGCCAACTAGTCTAACATTGTGATTTCTCATTAACAATTTGTTGTGATTCTCTACAACTCTAAATGTAGATATCAAAGCAGAATGCTTGGCATAATTTTTGACCATGTACTGCTGCTGGAGTACAATATTATTTGCATGTGATGGGAAAAAAAAATCTTTTCAATCAATTCTGTGAGCTTCACCCGCTAGACAATATGGCACATGGTTGAATCATATTTTATCATGTATTTGAAATCCAAAAAGTTCTGATTCAGTCTGCCAGTTACGTTTGATGGAAGATTACTAGCTTCCATAGATCAAAGCGATCATTCAGGGATTGCTCAGAAAAGTGAATTTTTTTAGTGAGACATTAATTTTTCATGTCTTAATTGATAGAAAGAAAATTTAAAGTGTTTGCCTTCTGGGCAAAGATACTTAAAGAATCAAGAGATATAATCGTGCAAAAAGTGTTTGCCTTCTGGGCAAAGATACTTAAAGAATCAAGAGATATAATCGTGCAAAAATCACAAGGGTGTCAGTAAAAATGAATGTTCGAGGCCAAACACAAGTAATAATTACTATCATATATCACAGTACACTAATCATGGGGACGAAAGATTAGTGCATGAGAAATTAGAAATATTCACATTTTAATAAAATCACACATAATCACCAAAATCATCAAGCTCCCATGATTTGATGAATATATAAGGGCTCAATATTGCTGATCCGGAACATACCTCATGCTAAAATTCAGTTCACTGATAACATTAGGTAGTTATCTCACAATGTCTACTGCACATGGAAAAAGGCCAAGAATAACAGTGCCTGGTCCTCCTTTGGTGACCTTGACAATAAAATTGATGAACTGATGTAGAACACTTAGTAGACACGTTTATGTCAAAGTAGGACAGTCGTAAGCCCAAATGCGGGCCTGGTCGAAGAAAATAACTTGTTTTGAAGAAACGGCCGTAACTTTCAAACCATACGTCGGAATTGGACGAATTATATATGAAAATCGACTATCTTGAAGAAACGGCCGTAACTTTCAAACCATACGTCGGAATTGGACGAATTATATATGAAAATCGACTATCTCGACGAGACGGAGCCATCCAAACCGCCATACGTCGGAATTGGACGAATTATATATGAAAATCGACTATCTCGACGAGACGGAGCCATCCAAACCGGCCCTTTGGGTTCGGTTTGCGTTCTCAGTTTCACTAAATTCCTTACGGTTTGAGAGATATTTGCATTTTTGTTCGTTTTTTACTATTTTTAGTAATATTTTAGGAGTCTGTTTTGTTTAGGAAACAAATCCGATTTGATCTCAGATTTGACCGGAGGACTTTCCTAATCATAAGGAGTCTTTTTAGGAGTTTTAATGTTTTAGGAATTCTTTACCATTTTTGGTAAGTTGAGAGTCATTGTAGGAATTAGAGTCCTTGTAGGAGTCTTGTTTCTTTTTCTATTTAAGAAGAGTCTTGTAAGCCCTAGGGGCATTACTTTTGATTAATAAAATTTCGTTTTTTTTAATATTTCTTCGTGGATTCGAAACTCTTGGTGGATTCGAAGATCGTTCTTTGTGGATTCAGAGAACACCCTTGGTGGATTCCGAGGTTATCACTTCCCCACTGCGTCATGAACTAACTTCTAGTATGGAAAATTATATTATATAATCATGTCGTATTCTTGTTCATTTCTTCCCCTTCTTCACCTTTATCAATCTGATAATTCAAGTATCTGGAGGAAAAACAATTATCTGGAGGGAAAACAATTGATGTTCCAATCAAATTGGAAGGTTATGTTGTGCTAACTATGACCTAACCAAAGGGGGAAAAAGTGACTTTTAGTAATTTGTTGTCCATACATTTTTATTGATTATTTGCCGAATGTTTCTAGTAATTTGTTGCTTAATATATTTATTGGATCGTTATCATTTCATGTTCTATATAATTGTATCACACATAATCAAATTCCAGAAATTGACGGAGGATTAGTAACTGATTTACAAGGATTAGTATCTATATGGATCTTTCATATGAGATGATCAGTTAAACACACACTCCCTCTCATCAAATGTGTTTTAACATGCTAAGTTTAGCCTTAATATCCTATATGTTTTGTCCTATATATTACACAAGTACTGGTTATCAAACATTGAGTTTATTATTCTCGTTATTTATCAATCTTGATACTATATTTTTGCACATACATAAAAGATTACACAAGATTACAGTTCATTTCCTCGACTAGTTATTTCATGTAGACCAATCTGCATGTGATGAAATATCTGCCTTAATACTATTGTTATGTCTAGTACCAAAAAGGGGGGAAACTAATTAGTAACTAATGACCAGATACTATATGTGCAAAGGGTATTAGGAACTTATCGGGAGCTAATCTCAACTCAGATATGCTTGATGCCCATTCCTGCTATGATTTCTTTTGTAATATATGAAAATGAAAACAAATCAGGCTAACCTGATTCACCGCAGGAACAATTTTGGCAAATTGAAGCAGCTCCTCAATTTGCTGAACATTGAAATTGCTTACGCTAAACGGACGATTACGAACCGGCTAGCTAGAGATTTCGTGCTGATAATGTGTTGTAATCTTATTGTTATATCTACATACATCACATGTTATAAGTAAGAATCGAACATGAAATGTAAGAATAAATAAATAGAGAAGAGAAGAGATAGGGAGAAAGTGATCATCCCATTTTTATTCATCTTCATTTCTCCATATATTTTGTCTTCCATGGCTTACATTATATAGATATGGAAGAGAATACTAAAAGTCACAAGTAGGTGAAGAGACTTCTTCTAGTAATGTCCACGTTCATTTCATTTATATTTAAAACATTAACTAATTAAAACTTATTCCTAGTCCAATCCTTCGTATTTCTGCCTACATCATGATAACAACCCAAAACTTCTACCTCTTGTACAATCGATAGGAAATCCAAATCTTAAAGCAAACTCGGTTTCATTTACGCCTTACTTATTTATTTATTTATTATTATTTTCGATAGATACGCTGGACTAGTCTTACTATGATATTGTAATTAAGCACAGGCATGAGCCGCAATTAAATTAACTAAGCCCCACTGTGCTCAACAACTTCCAAAGTGAAAACCACTCGCGCACACAACCGACCAGAACACATTTAACGTGCTTCCCCTTCCCGTTTCTTAGGCCCACGTCGACCTCTAAAACTTGTCCCCAAACTTAGTATCAAATCTTAACGCTCATAATCTTTTTGGATTTTTTAGAAACCGCCTTAAAATAAGACAATGATATAGACACTATCTTTGAGTATCAGATCATAGAAAAAATCAATTTTAAAGTGAGTTTATCTTGTAATCAACCATCTATCCGAAAAAATTATAAAAAAAAATCTTTAAAAAATCCACGTGCAAATATGTAACTTATATGCTAGCTAGATATAAACATTAACAAAATCGGTCACGTCTCCTGAATAAGAGTTTTAAGAATATATTTTACTTTGTTCTAAAAAAAATTGTATAGTTAACCCTAAAATTTATATGTGTCAATCTCCATACTAACCTCACCCCATTTTCCCTCTAACCTCTATAAATACCCACTATCACCACCTTAATCCGTCCAATTACAAAGAAAAAGAAAAGAAAATGAGGCCCAATTTCTTTGTTGTTCTTCTTCTTTCTTTTGCTTCTTCCATTCTAATTCTCGCAAATCTCTCCTCTGCTGCAAAATTAGGAGGAGAATTAAAAGGACATGGCACAAAACTAGGAGGGTACCGTCCAATAAAGAACTTGAGCGATCCACACTTGGGTGAGATTGGTAAGTTTGCGGTGAGTGAGCACAACAAAGAGGCCAACACCAAGCTTGTGTTCACCAAAGTGATCAAAGGTGAGAGCCAAGTTGTGGCTGGAATCAACTACAAGCTTGTTATTGAGGCCAAGGATACTACTCATAATAATAAGGTTGGGAGGTATGAGGTTATTGTTTGGGAGAAGTCTTGGAAGAAATTTATGAAGCTTACCTCCTTTAAGCCTGTTGGTATTAAGGTATAAATATAATGTGACTTTAGTGTGTTTGGTTGTAATGATCGATTAATTATTATAATAAAGTGACTGCTTTGGTTCTAAATTTTTGTGTGTTATTTTAACTGGTGTTGGATCTAATTGTGGTTTCTGTGTGATGATTGTTGTGGTTTGAAGTGTGGTTAGGAGAAATAATGCATCTTGAGACTATGCGTGTGGTTGTAAAGGCTAATTGGTTATATTAATAATAAAGTAGTTGGTTTATCTTTGTTTTTCTAGATTAGTGATCTTTTTTTCTCTTTAGACCTGTCATGGATTTAGCAGTATTTTTTATGTAGTAGTGATTAAAAGTTTGCTTAGGAGACAATTATGCATTTTAAAGCAAATCAATTGCAAATTTTGATCCTCTACACTACCATAAAGTAGTGCAGAAATAATTATTTTTAATGGTTAGTTGTGATTCATTTCAAAATCTAATGCTTACCATCAAAACTGCTGTCACTCTTAGATTAAAAAATAATTTGAATTCAAATCACGGTTCAACAAAGGGACAAAATAACAAAGTTTCATTGATTTCTCCGCCAACTGTTCAAATTTAAAGCTCACCAAACGTATGTTAAGAAATGTGACATGCTAGGAAAAGACTTGTAAAAAAATATTAGATATTTAGCCCTTCTTACAGTAGTATAGAAGTGTCAGAATATAAAGTTATAACCCTTAATTCTCATCACAGCTTTGGAGTTTTAGTGTAATGGTTCAAATAACTTTAAGATTGTATCAAAGCAATATGTCATAAAATTAAACCGGATTTTCTAAAAAAATAATACCATTCACATTAGAATATAAAAATATAATACCCACCGCAACTTTGAAGTTTAGATCTAATGGTCCACACGATTACTTTCAATAAGAATTTGGTCTAGTCAACTTTAAAACGAGTCTGAGTTTGTGAGAAACAGACAAGAGGTTATAAATCAAACAAGTCACATGGACCGCCAATTTGTGGAGATCCGGTTTATATAGACCAACGTACAAATTAGCAAATAATACTCTATCCATCCAATGAAGGAGCGCATCTTTCCATACATGCTTATAATCTTGGATATACACATTTATTATTCCTGTATAGAGAACTGTATACATTAGAAATGTATATACACAAAGAATCTCAACATAAAGCCCATCATAAAATGCCCAGCCACAAGACATTCTAACTCACAACCCCAACATTTGTACTATTATATTAAAAACTTTGTGAGGATAGCCAAAATTTTTAAGGGGAGGAATATCTTTCAAATCCATCTAAAGACAAGAGGATCATTATGTCATCTCACATGAGCATTAAATCTTTCACAATTCCCGTGTATCATCTCTCTTATACACAGTTACGACCAATAAAGATAGAATTACTTTTGCAAGAGCATGTGTTGAATTTCAAGCTAATTTCAATGGTCATGTTTTGAATTACTTTTTTTACTTATAATTTCTTGTCATGTTTTAAATTATTTTTCCACAAGATAAACATTTTAAAATTCTAGTTTTGAAGTTTTTACCCCAAATTAAAAAGTATAAAATTCAATTATCCTGATTTTAGTAAAAGTAAAGAAAAGTTTTATAAGTGGAGGAAGTATTGGTGGGAGGCAAGAGGTAAAGGAAATCGTGGAGTTGGAATAAGAGGAAGGGGAAGTCGAACTTTATTAGGAATATAAGTTAGCAAGAACACAATAAAAAAATTTGTAAGAAAAAAAAAGATACAAATATAGTTAATGGAAAAAGCGGGATAAAAATATAGTGGTTTGTTGGTGTAGGAAAAATAGGAATGAAGAAAGGGAGAGGTAAAATGGTAAAAAAATGGAGGAATGATTAAAAATTTCTCAACAAATTTGTTGATTTTTTTGGGGACAATTATAAATTGTTTGGGCAAATTGGTAATTTTAAATTGAAGGGACATTTCGACCATTTCTTCTCTCATTAAATGCATCTCTTCCACTCATATCTTTCTTAAAGAAAAATTCTTCAAGGACCCAAAATATGAGACCAATAGGGGGGACAAGTGAGGTGTCCCCCTCCTATTGGATAATGAGTTGTCCATCATTAATGATGACCAACTCATTATCCAATAGGAGGGGGATACCTCACTTGTCCCCCATATTGGTCCCATATTTTGGGTCCCTGTAGCAAAGCTCCTTTCTTAAATTTAAAATTTCATACATAACCTTACTTAAAAAATATATAATCGGCAAAGGTTAAAGTATAACCAAATATAAACTCTGTCTTATTTAACATGCATATAATATATAGTTAAAAAATATGTTTCAAGCGCTAAAAAATTATATTTTTCATAATTATATTATAAGCACATGGATGAGCCGCAATTAAATTTACTAAGCCCCACTGTCTTCAACAAAATTCCAAAGTCAAAAGGTTCAAAACCACTCGCGCACACAACCGACCAAAACACATTTACCGTGCTTCTGCTTCTCATCGCATAGGCCCGCCACGTCGATCTCTAAATCTCGAACTCATCCCAAAATTTAATATCAAATCTTACCCCAAAATATAGAAACTATATTTTGAGAAGCTACCTTAAAATAAGACAACGATATAGAAGCTATATCTGAATATCACATTATACAAAAATTATTTTTAAATTAGGTTTATTTTGTAATCAACTATATCCCAGTCATAATTAAAAAAAAATCCTAAAAAAATCATGTTATGCTAGCTAGATATAAACATTAACAGTCACATGTCCTGAATAAGAGTTTTAACGATATTTTTTTATTTATTTTGAAAAGGTTTGTATAATTACAATCAATTTGTAAATACCCACTACCACCACATTAATGTTGTGCGTGGCGCGGAAGCATGACAACCAAACGGGCATGCTTTAAAAACCAAATCAAACAAACGTCAAGATAAAGGCCAAACAAATCAAAACAACGACACAAATCCAACCACAATAGTTTTAAATGGTTCGGCAAATTGCCTACGTCCACGGGGCAAGAAGGGGATTGGATTTTTACCAATAGAGAAGAAGAGTACAAACTGAGATTACAAAACACTCAAACCAATCAACTAATCTCACCAACAAATCTCTTAATCTCTCCAAATAAACCCTCAAACAATTACTCAGAAAAACTCTTATTTTTTTGCGCTCCAATATCCCCAAACCAATCTCCAATCCAAGCCCAAAGAAACCCTGATTCGTATGTTGGTATTTATAGCAAACATCAAACTCAAACTGAATAGGAAATCAATATTGGGCCTGACCCGTTACGCGGTCGACCGCCACGGTCGACCACGACCAACAACAGAACCCAGAAATCCAATACATGGTATGGCGGTCGACCGCGATGGTCGATCACGCCAATCGACAGAGCCAAAGTCGACTACAGGGTACAGGCGGTAGACCGCGGCGGTCGACCGTGACGAATCCAAAATCACACCGTGAGCCTGTGCACGTTCGCGATCGACCGGCCTTGCACCGCGGTCGACCGCACAACTTCCAAACAGTTCACCTACGCTTCCAAAACTTGTTCTTCACCAAACTTCTCGCAGTTTCTTCAATTCTCCACCTTGACGAAGTTTCTACCAAAACTGAGCCGACATCGACCAAACCAAATGCCTCACTTGTTGCGTTCAGTACATCATGGCAACGGACTCATGACAACAGACTCCATCCACAACAAATCAAGACCCAAACGAGAGTACGAACACTCACCCAAATGTCGGTATCTACTCACCAAATCGGCTGCATCATAAAGACTGCCTACGTATCCTCTTGCCTAAGGAATTAAGCCTTCATGTAGTTCACCCAAACGGCCTCCAAAGGCTCTTAATCAAATAGAAAAGTCTGTAACTCTTCACAAATATCATCTGCATCCACATCCAAATGATCCCCAATTTGTTATTGGCCTTCTTGTTTTGATGATGTTTAACAAATAATTTACTACTAATATTGTTTGTCTAGTATTTGTGTTTTCCTATTTATTGTAGACAAACAATAAGGTGGAGGATGGATGAAATTGCGCATTCACGATCATATCCAATGGAGGTTGGGCGGAATTGTGGAGTGAAGCCTACGCAATTCAAAGTTAAAGATTCAAGTTCAAGCTTCATCCACAAGTGGAATTGTGGAGTGAAGCCTACGCAATTCAAAGTTAAAGATTCAAGTTCAAGCTTCATCCACAAGTGTACTAAGATAGAGCTTCGTTAAAGATCACAAGCTTGGGTAAACTTAGTTTTAGATTTTATATTATGTGTGTTAGTACTTTAAGCTCAATCATATACACACATACACGTTTTGGTTTTGTATATATATAGTTATATATATATACATATATGTTTTGGTTTGATAGTTTTTAAGTTTAAATATGAAACAATTGAATATAATTAGAAAATATATTTTTGTTTCATACTTATATGCATATATATGACTTCATCAATATATATTTTATTTAGTTCAATGAAATCATATTTACTTTTGAAATGTTTGCAAAATATGTAATTTTGTGAAAATATTGTTCTCTTGGTTTATAGACTTAATAACAATCATATACATCTTTATTAAGTCTATATAATCATTTTGTAATGTTTCAAAATATGGTTAAGCTAAAATATCAAAACTCATATGTTTACATTTTCATGATTTGGACTATTTTGCAAAATAATGATATTTTTTATTTGGGAGGTCCTTTTTGAAAACCAGTTATTGTAGCATGTTTATTATCGTCTACAATCATTTTCTAAAGTTTTATAATTTTTGGAATTTATTTGATATTTTTAAACAGGGTTTGAAAATTAAAAAACTGTTTCAAACCTGAACTTTTTTATGTATCTGTTTGTGGTCGACCGCCTTGGTCGACCGCCCTTGAGTCCAGAGACTCAGGAATTTTTTCAGAGGCACGCGGTCGACTGTGACGGTCGACCATGGCGGTCGACCAGATAAAGTCCAGATTGTTTTGCGGTAAAAGTTTTTGGAAATTTTCTCAGACTCGAAAGTGGCTCGCGATCGACCGCGAAATTCCCACGGTCGCCCGCCGATCGCCCAACGGTCATTTTTGTACAGAATCTGATTTCTGATTTTGTGGGTTTTTTGGTCTTTTCTGTTGGGTTTTTGGCTGAGGTTTTGGGAGGCTATAAATACCCCCTTGCTCTCATCTTTCATAACAGCTAAGAGAATGTTTTA